CCTGCTGTGCAAGGGAGTCAGCCAACATCACTTCTGTTTTGGCAGAGACTGGAGGGCAGGCAGAGGAGTGGGAAGGCCTTAGAGGCGACAGAAACGGGAGGCTGAGGTTGGGGAAGCCGCAGTGGCCACCAGGAGCTGCGTGTCCTCTGTGATTGGGTAGCGAGGGCACATTTGGCTTTCCCTGGTTGGTCCAAACTTGGAAACAGGGAGAAAATTAGGGAAGCTGCCGTTATTAACCAAATCTGTGCCAGTTCAGGCGGATCCTCACAGCACTTACTGTTTGGCTTCCAGGATGGGTGCTGGAGATGACAACCTGGCTTCCTGCCAGGCTGCGTCCCACCCACTGGCGTCCTGGGGGTTCACTGCAGGTGAAGGAGCTGGTTTCCTGGGCAGGTGGCCACAAGAGGCCTGTGCGATCTAGTCATTGTCTGTTTATACATTCAGTCTCGCAAACCAAACACTTAAGACTCGTGTGCTCGGCTGCCTATTCATTATACTAATGGGTTGAGCATCCCTGAAAATCCGAAATCTGAAATGCTGTAAAATTCAAAACTTTTTGAGCACCGACATGAGGTTCAAAGGTCATGCCCAGAGGAAATGCTCATTGGAACATTTGAGATTTCAGGTTTTCAGATTAGAGATGTTCAAATTCTGAAAAAATCCCAAATCCCAATCACCACTAGTCCCAAGCATTTCAGATAACGGGTACCCAACCTGTACCTCAAGCAATCATGTAAATAAAGACCAGAATATGTAAGATCAGGCTAGTTGTGCAAATGGGAAATTCTCAGCATTCTCGGGAAGAGGGGGGAACCTTGGGCAGAGCCGGCCCCTGAGGAGGCAGGAGCCAGCCGAGAGCAGGGACGAGAGGACAGCCCCGTGCCTGTCAGCCTGCTCTAACTCAGTCACCTCCACCTGACAGCGAGGGGACAACTCACTAGTCACCAAACCTGCTGAAGCTGATGATAATGACAGTAACAGCTAGCCCTAAGGCTTAGGTGAAATAATACACTTAAAGAAATGGTTTGGGTTTCCACAGCAGGAAAAAGGAGCTGCTTCCCCAGGGGAAAATAAAAACTGTATAGAGGGCGGCACCTGGGGCTCAAAGGAGTGGGGCCCTGGCCCTATATACTGGAGGTGGTGGGTTCAAACCCAGCCCTGGCCAAAAACCGCAAAAAAAAGAAAAAGTGTAAAGAGCGGGAACCACGTGCTCCCTGGGTGTGAGGATGAGTGTTACCAACTCTCTCTCCCTCTCTCTGTACTCACCTTCAATCCTGTGAAGATAACTTCCTGATTCTTTCTCTAGAGAATCAAAGACTTTGAGCATCAGACTGGAACCCTAGAGTGAACCCCTAGGGGTGAACACTATCCTTTCATTCCCTGTAATTCATCTGCCCTCCTGCTTTTTTCTCTAAAATACCCACACAGCTTGCGTTAAGAAATATTTTTAGTTTTAAAAAAAAGATGGGGCACAGCACCTGTGGCTCAAGTGGCTAAGGCGCCAGCCACGTACACCTAAGGTGGCAGGTTCAAATCCAGCCCGGACCCGCCAAACAACAATGACAGCTGCAACCAAAAAATAGCCGGGCGTTGTGGCAGGCACCTGTGGTCCCAGCTACTTGGGAGGCAGAGGCAGGAGACTCGCTTAAGCCCAGGAGTTGGAGGTTGCTGTGAGCTGAAATGCCATGGCACTCTACCCAGGGGGATAGCTTGAGGCTCTGTCTCAAAAAAAAAAAAAGATGAAGACTTTATCTCTTTTATGTTTACAGGGATGGAGCTGGAACATATTCTTCTTAGTAAAGTATCTCACGAATGGAAGAAAAAGTATCCACTGTACTCAGTACTATTATGAAATCAATATATAATCACCCACACTTCCATATGAAAGATAAAACACAGCTATAGCCCAGGATGAAGGAGGGAAGAGGAGTGAGAGGAGAAGGGAGGGGGGAGGCTGGATGAAGGGAGAGTCATGGGAGGGGACCACATCTATGGTGCATTTTGCAAGGGTACATGTCAAATCTATTAAGTGTAGAGTATAAATGTCTTAACACAATAATAAGTGAAGTGAAGGCTGTGTTAACCAGTTTGATGTAAGCATTCCAAATTATATATAAAATCAGCACATTGTACCCCATAAATGCGTTAATGTATACAGCTATGATTTAATTTTAAAAAAGAAAGAAAGAAAGACTGTTCAGACAAGTGCAGAATTGCTGAGAAGGAGCCTAGCGCTGCTCCCGTGGTGCCCTGACTCTGGCAGTCTTCACCACCTCGGGGAGGGAGCTTGTTTGGATGCAAAAGCTTGAGCCCCACCCAGACCTAAAGCCTGAGACCTTCCAGGGACAGGGCCCAGGAATCTGGGCTTGAACAAGCTCTTCAGAATCATTCTTTTGAATATGAATTTTGTGAAGAGCATCTAAGATTTAGGCCATCTAGAGTCTGACTGACTCAATCTCTTAAAACCCTTAAAAAGGGGAAGAAAGAAACAAGAGGGCAGCAAAGAACGTCAGAAGCTCAGAGGCAGCAGAGCTCTGGTAAAAGTCTACCAACCAGGTCTCTGTGGAGGGCAGCCCTACCTTACAGCATTTCCATGGTATAGAGCAGAGGTGGCCAACCTACAGCCTCTGGGCTGCCTGCTGATCTTGTGAGGACTTTTTGGCTTATCTGTGGGGTCACATTTCACCAGAAGTATGTACAGACCTTTTGTTTGTGCCCTTTGCCAGTCAGCTTTTGTTAGTGTCTGTGTACTTAATGCGTGTCCCAAGATAACTCTTGCCTTCCGATACACAGCAGGAAAGAAAAAAGATTGGACACTCTTTCCCCGACAGGTGACCCGTATGTACCTGTGTGATGTCATGAGCTTGGAGTCAGGAGGAGCCGGCACTGTCCAGTAGCCACACACTGTGACCACGTAAGGCTCCCAGTGGAGGTGATAACAAGGACTGTTACTCATATAATCCCCTCGCCATTTGTCAATGACATGTTCTATACTGCCCAAGGTACTGAATAACACTGTCCCTTTAATGTATCTGAGCTGAAGGGGAACAAGGCCAAACCTAGCCCACACATCTCAGAGAATGGTCCACACGTCCTTTCTCATAAATGCCAAACGCCTAGGGAAATACTGCCCAAAGCGCAGGAAATCACTTATAAAATGTGACCTCCAGCTCTGTTCATTCTTCTTTAATGCAAGTTATTCATTGTATTAAAAAAATCAAAACCAAGATAACTCATGAGTACTTTCAAATATTTCCCTGATGACACAGCCGCAATCACGCCATCCACCCAGCTGATGTCTTAACCTGTTAAACTGGAAATCAGCTTGTCTCATGAAACTTCTTGTCTAAAAAGATAAGGAAGGGTACTCTTGAAGAGACCTCCCACTCGCATCACTACACGATGTAATTACTGCCGCCAGCAGGTCAGTGCTGCTCTGTCTATTTTGAGAAAAAGTTTCTGGTCATGGGTGGCTCGTGCCTGTAATTCCAGCTCTCTGGGAGGCTGAGGTGGGTGGATCGCCTGTGCTCCAAATCAGTCTGAGCAAGAGTGAGACCCCTTCTCTACTAAGAATAGAAAACTGGCCAGGCATTGTGGTGGGCTCCTATAGTCCCAGCTACTTGGGAGGCTGAGGCAGGAGGCTCACTCGAGCCCAAGAGTTTGAAGTAGCTGTGAGCTCTGATACCACAGCACTCTACCAAGGGTGACAAAGTGAGACTGTCGCAAAAAAAAAAGTTTTCTTCCCAATTCAGATAAATATCTGTAAATGTATTTTTTCTTTTGCAAATTAACAATGCCAAATGTGTTGTTTCTCCCTTGTACTCTGGCTTCTTTGGCAAGGTAAGGCACAGAGCACAGGTTAGGTCACACGGACACGGTCACACGGACACACACACACATGCACACCAGCATCGTTGTGTTTCTCTGGACAAGTTTTTTTTTTTTATTATTTTTAGATGGAGCCTCAAGCTGTCCCCCTGGGTAGAGTGCCATGGCTTCACAGCTCACAGCAACCTCCAACTCCTGGGCTCAAGCAAGTCTCCCACCTCCGCCTCCCAAGTAGCTGGGACCACAGGTGCCTGCCACAACGCCCAGCTATTTTTTTGGTTGCAGCCATCATTGTTGTTTGGCGGGCCCGGGCTGGATTCAAACCCACCACCTTAGGTGTACATGGCTCGTACCTTAGCTACTTAAGCCACAGGCGCCGAGCCTGGACAAGATTTTTTAACTCCCCAAGAGTCAGCTTTTTCATCTGCAAAACGAGATCAGAAGAGGACCTTCCTCAGAATTACTGAGAGATTTTAAGTGATAAATACAAGCAGAGTGCTTTGTGATACATCACAGTTGTGACTGTTGAGGATGGCAGTTGTACTTACGGCTGTGTTTTGTTTTTCTTGCCTTCTCTGTACCATCAAGCATGATACAGCTCAAGCCAACTTTTCTTTTTAATCTTAGCATCATGGGATGGTATTTGAAGATGGGGAAAAGTCAGGCTGTTTACAGTATCTTTGCTAAAAATACGAATGCAAAAATAAACACCAACACTATGTAAAACTGAAAAAGAAAAATAAGCTATAGCCTAGTGTTCAAGAAGCAAACAAAACCAGTACAGTCAGTGAATCCAAAATCTTGGGCTCTAAATGAAATGAAAGCCAATTTCAGGAAGTACATCCCTCACCACTCTAGTACTCGTCATAATGCTCCAACTTCTATTTTGCTCAATACAGCGTGTCCTGAAAGTCAACCAAAAAGTTGCCATGCAAAGAGAAAATGGGAAATTGTAGCTAAATGTACCTTTATTTACAGAATATTCATCACAAAATTTTGCAAAGAAGTGGCAATGTAGAGAATATTTTGTAGAATGTTGTGATGAATATTCTGTAAATAAAGGTACATTTAGCTACCATGTCCCACTTTGGCTATGTAGAGCGAGTTTACGGGGGACTTTTGGGACATGCTGCAGGTGTAAAACGCTCTTCCGACAGGAAAAAGGAACTCACCCACCAAATTCTCTTTATCCTGCTTCTCAGGTGAAGACACCCCAGAATCCATCTCATTCTTAAGAAGTTTTTACACTTGTCAAATTTTCATGGGTTTGGAGCCAAGCCCAGACTCAAGGTAGCACCGCAGATGATCTTAGGAGAGGGGAGTGGAGACAGAGTGAGAGTGAGAGGACTTCCTTCTCTTTAGTGAAAACTCCCAGGAGTAGTTACCCTGGTGAGGGGAGCCTGGTAACACAAACAAAAAGGCTTCTTTCTTGAGCCCAGCCAGCCTTTGTTAGTTAGAGAAAATCTGAAAAAAAAAAAAAAGTGATCTTCTAGTGGCATTGCTTCCTGCAAAATACCATTAGGCAACTTTCTGTGTCATCTGTACTTTATAAAGTACGTCTGCGTGGCTCACCCGCTTTGTTCACCACAGGAACTGTCTGTAACACAGGGCAAGTCTAGCCACCCTTATGCTTCAGATGAGGAGATTGAATCCAGTGGATTCTACACGCTGCAGTGAGTGATCATTTGAAATTCACACCTGATTGTGTCACCATCCTGCTTAAAATAATCCAATGCTGCTGATGTGTAGTATGGTAAAGATTAAAATTTGAAGTGTCCTACAAGACCCTGCTAGTCTGCCCTCCCTCCTCACTGGTGATGTGACCCTCACTTTCTCAAAGACAGCCCCGTGGTCTTCTATCAGTCCCTCCAAAGCTTTATGTGTCCTCTTGCCACGGGGCCTTTGCACTTATTATCATATGCATAATTTTTGGCTTCTTTCTATTTCTTCCCCTAGGCCAGGGCGTAGCAAACTAAAGCCAGCCAACCAAATTTCAGCTGCACTCTGGGAGGCTAAGGCAGGTGGATCACCTGAGCTTAGGGGTTTGAGACTAGCCTGAGAATGAGCAAGACCCCTTCTCTACTAAAAATAGAAAAACTGGCCAGGTCACTTGGTGACTGTCTGTAGTCTCAGCTACTTGGGAGGCTGAAGCAAGAGGATCACTTAAGCCCAAGACTTTGAGGTTGCTGTGAGCTGTGACGCCACAGCACTCTACCAAGGGTGACAGAGGGAGACTCTGTCTGAGAAACAAAGAATCCTAAGGGCCTGGATTTGAGAAAGGGCTTTGGGTTTGTGAACTGTTACCATTGGCAAATCATTCATGTGGCAAATATCTATTGAACATGAAAACTAGCATTGTTTTTAATGCTGCATCTGCAGTGGTGAGTGATACTGAACCAAGTGACTCTTCTGGAAATTCAGTATAAGCCAGGGGTTAGCACACATTTTGTAAAGGGACAAAGTAAACGTTTTAGGCTTTGGATCCTATATGGTCTCTGTTGCAACTATTCAACTTTGCAGGTGTGGTGCAGAAGTGGCTACAGACGATACAGAAACAAGGGGCATGGCTGTGTTCCAGTAACACTTTATTTCCCCCCAAACAGGGGTTACAAGCGTGAGCCACTGTGCTGACCCAGATCCTCAGGGTCTTGTCCTAGGATCCCCTCTTTCATCACACCACTGAGGATGAAGGACAATCTTGAGCTCATCCCAATACTGAAAACACCACTTACATAATTTTCTGATGTTCACCTCTCTCACGCCCACACCTGGAATGCTATTTTGTTTTCCTTTGCCCATTACTGTGTTGATTGTATCATATTTTTTGCTAAACAACACAGAACTCTCTGCTCTCTCCTTGTCACCTTGTCTTTCCTAGGTTTACTTCTCCAACAACCTCACTGTTTTCTTCTTAGGAACTTCATCTTTAAAAATTGCCCAGATTGTGGGTTACTTTTGCCAAATCCTTGATAATCTTAATCTCCTTCTCCACAAACTCAAGTTGCAGTTAGTAACCATGGCTGCCATCCACAGTGTGTAATGATGAGAATTCATACAGAATATCAGAGCTTCAGGGGAGGAGGCGGGAAACAGGGTGAACCCAGACACTCACACACACTCTAGGTCAGCCTCTGCCTGCTCCAGGGCACTTTCCCGGGCATTGCTCTTCAACATCCCGTGTTACAGCTTGACTTGGAACACTGGGCGAGAGTGCAGGCTCTGGGCTCACACTGCCTGGATGTAAAGAAATCCTTGCTCTGTCCTACACCGGCGTGTGACACTGGGTAAGTTATTTAGCCTCTCTGTTTATTTTTCTCATCTGTAAAATGGGGATAATAATAGGGAGCTGTCTATGTGAAAACCTTATAAAATATCACACGTGAAATACTCAGAGTAATGGCTGGCATTCACAAATGGCATGTCTTTCTCAGGACTCAATTAACTTCTCTCTAAAATGGGCACGTTAGGTTAATTTTCACAATGCTTCCCTTTCCACTGGCTTCAGGGGAAAGCAAGCTGGGTTAGAGGTGGATTTTGTGTTGACCCTCTCCTCTCCCTGGGCTGGGGCTATTCCAGTTTGCTATAAACTTGAACACTTGTTCTGTATTGTCAGCACATAAATTTCAACCTGTTGCTTCCTGGACACACTTGATCTCCACATTATCCTCACTCACTCTCTGACTAATCTTTCATGGAAAGAGAAGTAGAGAGACTCCCTGTTCCCATCATTTCTCGTGACCAAGCCAAAGACAACCTTTGCCGAGGACTGGAAGCCCCTTTCCGTTTGAATCACCTACCCTCCTCAGTCATACAGTGGAGTGTCTTCAAGACGCTGGCTTAGCTTATTTCTAAATACATTTGTCTTTATTGTTAGTCAAATATCCCTCCCACCAGCACTGCCAGTCACTGAGTGAGGTGGAAGATTTAAAACAACAAAAACATTAATTGCTCCCTGGGGCCTGTTTGAAAAGGGCCTCGAGGGTACTTGCTACAGGTACAACATCCCTTTGGAAGATGACTAAGCAACTGTTTTGCTTCTGCCTACAGAATATTCCAAATGTCTCAGCCTAGAAAGCAAAAGTGGTTTCAACAAGCAGTGAGCCCCTAGGACTGGCTGAAGCCCTGCGGTGGGGCCTCAGGAAAGAAAATGTAAGCCCAGCTTGGCTCCTGTGGCTCAAATGGTTAAGGTGCCAGCCACATACACCTAAGGTGGCAGGTTCGAATCCAGCCCGGGCCCACCAAAACAACAATGATGGCTACAACCAAAAATAGCCGGGGTTGTGGCAGGACCTGTGGTCCCAGCTACTTGGGAGGCAGATGCAGAAGACTCGCTTGAGCCCAGGAGTTGGAGGTTGCTGTGAGCTGTGATGCCACAGCACTCTACCCAGGGGGACAGCTTGAGGCTCTGTCTCAAAAAAAAGAAAATGTAAGCCCGATTCAAGTTCCTTCCATCTCCATCTATAAAACACCTGCTGCAGGCCCAGATTCTTAACCATCTGAGGACTACATTAAAGGACTCTTCTGCCCTTTATCATGGGCATGTGAGGGTGGCCAGTGTTTATCAACCTTCTTATCTCACAGTACACTTGAGCCTATAAACTTCCACAGCACACTTAAATTGTGTTGATAAAAAGAGTTTTAAAAAAGAATACACTTACTGTGCTTTGAACTTCCTCCAAAATAATTTGATTAATGATCTTTAAAAATTTCCGCGGCATATCTGAGCTCTTCTGAGGACACACCAGTGTGACGTGGCACCCCAGTTGACAATCCCTGGGGTGGGGACTTGCCAGACGGTGCTCCTCACTGCAGGCTTTTCTGTGTGTGTCCACACCAAGGTTGTACTAAGCCCGACACTACTGAAAGACCAGACGTGAGGAGGGCTACGTTTTCAAAGGCCTGATTCTATTCCCACTCTTGACACCCAGGACATCCATCCCTCTATCCATGTGTATTTGCTTTTCCCTGGATGCAGAGCCTGGAGCACAGACCCTCTCGTGGGACAATCAAGCTAGCCTTGGACCTTTCTTCTTTCCTAAGCTCCTGGCTCCAGAACATCCTTCAGCCAGACATCAGCCACCATCATTTCCTGCTAATAGGTACCCTGTGTTCCAGGACATTTTGCTGCTTCCTTAGGAAAACATTCCCTTTTTTAAAGAAGTTCTCTGATTTCATTGACTTTTCTTTCATTTTTATTTATTTTTTTGAGTGATTTTTTTATTTTTTCAAATTAATATGAGGGTACAATTTTTTATTTAGGGTTTCACCTCCAGGGTAAAGTTCCATTTGTAGGAGAGCCCCTCACTCTGGGGGCTTGTAATACACCCTCACGGTGTGCGCACATTAGATCCCACCTCATGCCCTCTCTCCTTCTGTCAAATGTCCTCCCCCATTCCTTATACCCCTGGACAGGACTACATTTTTTTTTTATTGTTCTTATGATCATGTAATTGTTTATATATTGATTTCATATTAGTATGGAGTGCATTGGATATTTATTTTTCCATTCTTGCAATACTTTACTAAGAAGAATGTATTTCACCTCCATCTAGGTAAATATAAAAGATGTAAAGTTTCCGTATTTTTTAAAGTCTGAATAATATTCCATGGTAGACATATATCACAGTTTGTTGATCCAGTCATGGGTTGATGGGCGCTTAGATTGCTTTCCCAACTTGGCAATTATAAATTGAGCTGCAATAAACATTCTAGTGCAAATGTCTTTGTGGTAAAATGATTCCTGTTCTTCTGGGTAGATACCTAGTAATGGGATTGCAGGGTCAAATGAAAGGTTGACTTCTAGTTCTTTGAGGATTCTCCATACTTCTTTCCAATAAGGCTGTATTAGTTTGCAATCCCACCAGCAGTGTAAAAGTGTTCCTTACTCCCCACATCCAGGCCAGCATCTGGTGTTTTGGGATTTTGTGATGTGGGCAATCTTGCTGGGGTTAGATGATATCTCAGAGTGGTTTTGATTTGCATTTCTCTGATGATTAAAGATGATGAGCATTTTTTTCCATGTGTTTATTGGCCATTTGTCAGTCATCCTCAGAGGAGTTTCTGTTCAAATCTCTCGCAGATTTGAGTTCTCTGCAGATTCTAGTTATTAGGCCTTTGTCAGATTTTTATGCAAAAATCTTCCATTCTGAAGGCTGTTTGCTTTGTTTATGATACCCTTAACTGTGCAAAAGCATTTTAGCTTAAGTCCCAGTTATTTATTTATT